GCAAAATACCTGCATATACCCTTCAACAAAGAAGGTATACAGATGGCAAATAAGCATATGAAAAGATACTCAATATCATATGTAATTGGGGAATTGCAAATTAAAATAATGAGATCTATTATACACCCATTGTAACAGCCAAAATCCAAAACACCAATGACACAAAACGCTGGCAAGGGTATGAAGCAACAGGACTTCTCATTCATTGCCAGTGGGAATGCAAAATGTTAAAGCCATTATGGAAGATGGTTTGGCAGTTTCTTAAAAAACTGAACATACTCTTACCATGTAATTCAGCAATTGGTATTTACCAAAATGAGTTGAAAATGTACATCCACACAAAAACCTTCACACAGGTGTTTATAGAAGTTTTATTCACAATCGTTAAAACTTGGAAGCAGTCAAATTGTCCTTAAGTAGGTGAATGGATAAATAAGCTGTGGTACATCCAGATAATAAATTGCTTGTGCTTAAAAGAAACGAGCTATCAAACCATGAAAACACATGGGGGAACCTTGAACTAATATTACCAAAGCGAAAGAAGCCAATCTGAAAAGGCTACATACTTTATGATTACAACTATATGACATTCTGAAAAAGACAAAACTATGGAGATAGTAAAAGTGTCAGTGGTCACCAGAGGTTGGGGGCAGAGGAGAATGAGTAGGTGGAGCACACAGGACTTTTAGAGCAGCAGAACGGCTCTGTATGAACTCTAATGGCAGATACATGTCATTATACATTTGTCAAAAGCCACAGAATGTACAACACCAAGAGTGAACCCTAATGTAAAATATGGACTTTGGGTGAGGCTTGATTATAACAAATATACTACTCTGCTGTGAGATGTTGATGGTGAGGGAAGTTGGCGGGGAGGAGCTGGGGAGTATATGGGAAACCTCTGGACCTCGCACTTAATGTTACTGTGAACCTGAAATTGCTCTAAAAAAAAGTCTATTATTAAAAATGAACAGGCCGGGCGCGGTGGCTCACGCCTGTAATCCTAGCTCTCTGGGAGGCCGAGGCGGGCGGA